CCACCATGGCTCCTAACTCCCTCCTCTCCACCATGGCCCATCAGTCCATTGGTCCCACTCCGGACCCAGAGCCCAGCCCACCATCCCCCCACAGCGCGGAGCACAAGCCTGAGCCCACCACTGACGGAGAGCCAGAGCCCGCCGCGACCGACGAGCCATCGCCATAGAGAGTGACAGTGATGAGGATCGCCCCGGAGCCAGAGGCCGTGACGTCAGACCAGGTGCGAGAGCCGGCTACAGAGCTCACCACGGGGGAGAGCACCATGGACAGGGAGAGAGCGGAGGGAAGCTCCGCCCACTGCACCATGGCTGAGGGTGAGCTGAGCCCAATGGACTATAATTCGGATATATATGCAGACATGCCCCCTCTTCTTCCGCCTTCGTCTGAACTGTCTGTCTGCCCTGAACTATCTGCCAGTCCTGAAATTACCATATATATATATATATATATATATATATATATATATTCCCCCAGTGATGAAAGTGTTTCATTATTTACAAATTGATAATAAATAAACGAACGAACGAATGAATAAACTAGTGAAATACTGGAAAAGATGTCATTCTGAAAAAAAAGATAACTCTGAAATGAATGAATGAATGAATACACAAATAAAAACAAAATTACTAATAATCAGTTTTAACTTTTTAACAGTTTTCACTTTAATGTTTGTTTTGTTTTGTTTTTTTTAGCATATTATCATCAATAAGCTAGGCTTCTGTATAAACAGCCATGTTTGTTTACAGTGCAGTGCAATGTGGGAGTCAGAGTCTATCAGAGCAATGATATTTATAACTAACTTATTATTAACTTATTATTAACTTATATTCAAAAAAACATTTGAATGTGTGTTACATAAAAAAGAACTAGATTGTGAGCTCAGAAAACGCTGCATATACATGACAAGCGCTTTGCCAGCCCCTATCTCTGGGTAAGTGACAATGTCAACAATGTTGTGAAAGCAAATTTGAATTTTGCAGTTTGCACACATTGACATTTCTCATTGCTTTGGTTACAGTACTCTCGCCAATTTCATGATACATGTCAAATGGTTAATTTCCTAATTAACATTTCTCACAAAAACTTTGCACTTGCCCTTTTTCTTATTTCATCTTCATATTTCATATTTCATGCATCTTCTTCAATGCAATTGATAATTATGCAAATAATATACTTTAAGCTGTTAACTTTAACCTTTTTCTTCAATCAAATATTTTAGTAATTGTTCTAAATTAGACATCATTCTAAAGCTTAAACACTCAAAATGTATCCTATAAAACATTTTTGAAATAGGACATTGCATTACCATGTAAAAGGTACTTTAAAACCTTTTAGCAGGCTCCTCCCTCTCGTGGGCGGAGTCAAGTGTCATATTATGAAATTTACTACAATTTAATCACAACTTTTTCTAATCTTCACAAAAAAAAATATATATTGTTGGAAAAGTCTAAGTCTCAAGGTTCCATATTTGGTATCTATTTTTGATAAAAGTAATATTGTGACAGAAATGTATACATTTGTGACAGGAAAATGCATTAATTTTTATTGTTTTTTAAATGATGGAGTTTGGGTCTTACCCAGTGCTTTTTTTGGTATAGTGCCTAAACAAAATATCACAGGAATCTCAAATTTTGTGGTATCAACTTCAAATTTGGAACATAGTTAGACTTTGATTGTATAGAAATATATTTTGTTCAATATTTATTTTATATGAAATAAAAAAATAGTACAGTACATTTTCTTTAAAATAAACTTAAACTTGTATATTATTTACACTTTATTTTTTGACATTAAAAATGTAGAAATGTGTTAGAAATTCACTTCAGCAATACTCTGCTATGTCTTTTTTAAGGGGGGGGGAGGTGGTATATAGCAATATAGCACAATATAATAATAATAATAATAATACATATAACAACACTACAGTTATACATAGTTATATACAATTATAATCAGGTACTTTAAGTGTGCTTAAGTATGTCAGCAGTGCATAAAAATAAATGCACTTCTTTAAAGCATGACAAATGAATATTAAACTATTGTCACACCCCCCCATGGACTGTTTATTGTGTTTCCTTCCCCATGTGCTCAGTATGACCTAGTTTCTGTCTTCCCTTAATTGTGTCATTATGTTCAGGTGTGTCTTGTCATTACCCTCGTTTATTCTCCCATAGTTGTAATCAGTTCAGTTTTTCTTTGTCCGGTGTGGTCTGAGTTAGACATGTGCCTGTGTATGCTGCTTCTTCGATATGGATTACCCTTATGTGGATTATTAAAGACTGTTTACCGTCATCTTCTTCTTATTCGTGCATCTCTCCTACACCACACCGTGACAGAAAACCGGACCAACAAAATATCAAGTAGCGGCGTCTCCCCCTCGTTTTGTTTTCCGTTTTTGTCAGTTTTTATTTTTTGTCATAGATATCACCGACCGATTCATCGCCCTAGCCCATAGAGACCTTCCCCTTTTGGAATATGCTGTGGAGTTCAGCCAGCTCGCTGTTCGAACGGCGTTCAACGATGCCACGTTGAACTCCCTGTTATGGATCGGGGCAAAGGGCAAGTCGACTTCCCAGACACCACCGGACTATGCTGGTGGGAGGCAATCATCTGGTGCCTGGAGAGTGTCTACCCCCGATCTGGAAAACAGCCAGACCCAGAGCCAGCGAGGACAGCGAGAGCGCGGAGGGAAGCTCCACCCATTGCACCATGGCTGAGGGTGTGCTGAGCTCAATGGACTGTAATTCGGATATATATGCAGACATGCCCCCTCTTCTTCAGCCTTCATCTGAACTCTGCCTGCCCTGAATAATTTGTCTGCCTCGAGTTATCTGCCTGCCCAAAATTCTCTGTCTGCCCTGAACTGTCTGCCAGTGCGATAATGACCACGGAGGTCGTTCCCCTGTCGCTGGCGCTCACGGTGGTGGAAGTAGCCTTGTGGTGTGTGTGGGCAGCACACACCGTTCCTAAACCCCCTGAGCATCCTGAACTCCCATCCACCCTCCCTTTCCTGCCTCTTCCTGTCATCCCTGCTGCTTCAGCTCCGCCACCGCTGGCTCCTGTCAGCCCTTCTGCTCACCCTCAGCCCACCATCTGTGTGCTGATTCGCCGTGGGTCTGCCAGTCTACATCGGCATCGTGGCTGGAGGATCCCTTGTTTCCTTCACCAGCCTCTGAGTCCCGGACTCCGCCTCGGCCCTTCGACCCAGCGGCTCCACCATGGCTCCTAGCTCCCTCCTCTCCGCCGTGGCCCGTCAGTCCACCAGCTCCTCCGGGCTCCCTCGTCCCTCCGGCTCTGCCTTGGTCTGTCGTTGACCATCTGCCGCCTCGGGACTCCACTCCTCCGGCTGCTCCTCATCCATCTGGCTCTGTCAGGCTCCTCCTTCCCTCCAGCTCAACCTCAGTCATCAGTCGCTCCGGCTCCACCGTGGCCTTCCGGATCCTCGGTGTCGCCCAGGCTCATTGGCTCTCCGTCTCCGTCTCCGCCTTGGGCTCCTGCTCCGCCACCGTCGGTCAGCCCCCTGGAGTCGTCAGCCCTTCCTCCACCATGGCTCCTCCCTCCATCGGCCACCATCATGGCTGCGGCCTGGGTCCCGCCTGGCTCCTCCTGCTCCAAGTCCCTCCTGTCTTCTCCCTGGCTCCTCCCTCAGTCTGATTCACCCTGGCTCCTCCTGTTTCCTCCATGGCTCCTCCCTCCGTCGTCTCCACCCTGGACTCTCTTCACCGTCCTCCTCCCGGGAGTCCGTCCTCCGCCCAAACCTCCACCTGGGTTGTCCGCCTGCCTTCCTGCAAGCCCAGTGCCATCCCCTGTCACCATCCCACATCCACTCCTTTGTCCTTTTCCGAAGTCCCCCTCTGTCCCACCCTTTCTTCCTGTGGCGCGAGGTCGTGCCTTCCGGGAGGGGGGGGGCGAACTGTCACAGTATTGGACGTTTGGTTGTGTTTTTCTCCCTCATGTGCCCATATTTGGCCGTTCCTGTTCCTGTCCTAGTTATGTCTTTGTTAGTTAACCTCCTTTCACCTGTGTCTTGTTAATTAGTCATTAGTTAATCTTCCGTTTGTATAAATTCCCTTCCTTTAGTTCTCTGAGTTGTCGGTTATTGCATGTGGTTACCCTTTGTGTGTGGATATTCCCTTCATCTTTCCTTGTGAATTTATTAAAAAGAATGCTCTTCTGTCTTCATTCCAGCACGTAAGCATGACAGTGTCATTCCCCGGCATCTAAATCAGGCACATATAAATGTCAGGAAACACTATTCCTGGCTGCATATCAATATCCATGGGCCACTGGATCTTTGGTAAGTTGTAAGGAGCACTATATCAAGACCAACAACCTTTAGTTTGAACTGATTATCATTTGTTTTACTCGCATTTTTGCAGCTTCTCTATTAAATCCAGTCATGCAGCAGGCTCTTTTGCCACTCAGTCCGGCTGATTGGGAGTGTTCTGGCGAGAAAGTGACGTCAGTGCATACCCTCTATAGTGATGGGAGAAACAAAGCTTTTCGAAACTCTGAATCAGTTGCGTTACAAAGTGATTCGAAGCGCATGAAATGCCACTCGCTGGTGACGCCTGCTGGTCAAAATGAAGTAAATGCAACTAAAACTCAGTTCAGACATGAATAAAACACATTTTACAAACTGACTGCAAATGTTTTGCGTCATTAAAATGTCTAAAACTGATATAAGATTGGGTAAGACACTGGTTCATACAGAGATTGACAAAGAGCGGCGAACCTCTGAAACGTAGCGAAGATTTCCTTATTGAAATCACGTGATTTTATGTAATGATTCATCAAGTTGACTGAATTTAAGTTTTCTTAAAACGTACTTTTTTACAGTGCATGCTTGTTTTATGTCTGTGCAGTATGTGGTAGGTACAACTGCTTTTTCATGAGTGTGTCTGTAGTCACTTGTGTCGTCTTCTGAGAAGCACCAAAGAATAAAAAGTGTGTTTGGAACAACATGAGTGTGCTTTAAGCGTTCCTTTATCTTTTCCAGAAAGGACAGGCAGTTTTTTTTTAAAGAAAGATCAAACAAAACACTGGAAGAACATCATGAAGTTTGAAGTGGAGTATTCAAAGACTTGTAGTTTTCCCTGGAGAACATCACGTGAGAACCTCAGCCTTCAACTAAGAGGCCAGTGCTTTTTTTTTTTTTTTGCTTTTTTTTTTTGGGTATAAACACTTATAAATCCGGTCAAAGCGGAGTTTGACTTCAGAAATATTTAAGGCAGGTGTATGTGGAAACACAGCGCACAAAGAGCTGTGATTAAAAGCCTGAGGAGCCGAGAGAAGCGATTACTCCTCTCTGAACTTGCTTACTTCTGAGATTGCACTTGAGAGTGAGTCCTGTTGTTGAATTTTCATATTACAGCTGTTCTACTTCTCATTTAAAGAAAGAAATATTCCTAGTTATGTTCAGCTCAATGTCTATGAGAAGCATCTGTCAGTTAATACAGACAAGACAATCATTTCGACTTTCTCTCAGTTTGGATGAAGGAACAGGAGGCACATCTATAATGATGGAAATTGGGGTCAGAGGGTTTATTAGCAGAAATGTAAATTATTTGTTGAAATTAATTTTTTGATCAATTGAATGTGTCCTCGCTGGACAAAAGTAAAAGAGCAGTAGTGTAACTCCTAAAAGTAATATATTTTCAGTTTTTTTTACAGATTAAATAAAAAAAAATATATACAGTATATTGAATTTACTTTGAGACAATTTTCACTCAGAAATTGGTATTACATTTGACAAATAATAATGGAAAAAGAGCAAGTAACACATTGATTTAAATGTAAAAAGACTGAAATAGTATTTTCTTGTAAGACACAATAGTCTTTGTTTTATTTAAAAATGTAAAAAAAAAAAAAAAAATGTTTTTACAGTGCTCTTTTCCTTGTACATTTCTTTAAATGTTTAAATCCTTATGTTTGTAGATAAAGTCTAGCAAGTCTTGCATATTATCTGTTGAATGTAACTCCCATATGTCACGTTATGGAAGTAAAAATGGCTTTGTAAAAAATGTTTCATGTTGATTGTAAACATTTTGAACTGTATAAAGGTGGATGAAAATAGTAAAAAATAAACTTAAGCTTAAATAAAACAGACTATTAGACTACATTTTACAAGAAAATACTATTTCAGTCTTTCTACTTCACAATTTCTTGTTTAATGCAGTGTGTTACTTGACTTTTCTTTGTAATTAATTGTGTAATTTATTTCTGAGTGAAAATGGTTTCTACATCACATTTTCATGTACAGCACCTTTCTCCATCTAAACTTTAAATCTGGATGGTTTTTATCTTAAAATTAATTCAACCACTTATGTACATACAGTAATATATAAGTGTTTATGTATGCATATATGAGAATATTTAAGCCTTTAAACTGTGCTGTCAAGCTGAGGATGGAGAATATTTGCGTGTCTATAAGCCGTAGCTCACATGCCCTCGCTCAGGTACATTTCCAGAATCCTAATGCTTGAATGACCTGAAAATGATGATGTATTCTGGATGCAATCTCTCTATCGCTGATGTCGTTTGCGTGCGCCGTCACTCATGCGTGCAGATAAGCGGTAACCCTCGCTTTATTAGATTGCTCAGCACAGGGAAAGTGAAATGTGGGCTAATTGCAAAAGAACAAGACTAATCTCAACTTTATATAGGCCACAGCGGGGGGCACGGTTTGATCTCTCAGCTACCTGACTTCACTGACAATAGCAGGAGCAGTCGAGCGTCTCCGGAGACTCGTCTCTTATTGGCTTTAAACGCTTTGCTTCTGGTTTTTTGGTCCTTCATTGACAGGTCGTCTTTGGAAGTACAGTACGTCTTATTAAAGGAATAGTTCAACCAGAAATTAACATTTGCTGAAAATGTGCTCATCCTCAGGCCACCCGAGATGTAGATGAGTTTGTTTCTTCATCAGATTTGGAGAAATGTAGCATTGCATCACTTGCTCACCAATGGATGCTCTGCAGTGAATGGGTGACGCCAGAATGAGAGTCCAAACAGCTGATAAAAACATTGCAATGATCCACAAGTAATCCATCAGTTAACATCTTGAGAAGACAAAAGCTGCGAACAAATCCATCAAGATGTTTTTAACTAAAATTCTGACGGCACCCATTCACTGCGGAGGATCCATTGGTGAGTAAGTGATGCTGTGTGCTGGATGCTGTTCAAGTGATGAAACAAAGAAATATATTACTAATGTATGATGTTTTTTTAAACCCTTTTAGGCTTTTAGGTTTTGCATCACATTACAATCTAGTTTCTAGAAACGCAAAATGACCCACATCAGTTTAATCAGCTTGATTCATCACTGAGGTACAGTGGTGTGTAATAGTGGCTGTACAGGTAGTGATGTTCACTCAGTAGGCGTGTGTGTGTGTGAATCGCATGTTAACGCTCATGTTTGCCGCTGTTCTCCAGAGCCGTCTGACGCTGTGTGAGGATTTCAACAGGGCAGTCATGTGCAATGGCACAAAAACAGAACATATCGTTTCTAGTGAATGAACAAACACACCTGTGAAAATGCTGAGATGAACCTTGAATGAGGAAAACTGCTGTTGTGCCCTACAAAAAAAAGTACCGCTTTAGTACCATGTTTTTGGTCATGACGTGGTTAATTCAATGTTAAAAAGTTTGGGATTGATAAGATCTTTAAAAGCCTCTTATGTTCACCAAGGCTGCATTTATTTGATCAAAAATACAGCAAAAGACTGTGAAATATTATTACAATTTCAAATAGTTGTTTTCTATGTAAATATATAGTGAAATGTGATTTCTTTCTGTGATCAAAGCTGAATTTTCAGCATCATTACTCCAGTCTAAAGTGTGACATGATTCTTCAGAAATAATTCTAATATGCTGATTTTCACCATTTAATAACATTCTAATTTGCTCATTTGAAAGTAACATTTTATCATTTTCAAGGTTGAAAACTGTTGTTTTTAAGTTTTAGTTTTTAGTTCTAGTTTATTTCGTTATAAACTATATGAAAATGGGAAATGTTGAAATATGCTGACATAAAATAAGTTTACGTGTTTTAATATTTTATTTTATTTCAAGTAATGAACATGTTTGTTTTAATGGTTTTAGTTCAATAATAACCCTGGTTGAAAACAATTGTGCTGCTAAATATTTTTGTCAAAACTGTGATGCTTTTTTGTAACATGATAAATGTCTTTACTGCCATTTTTGATCAATTTAATGCATCCTTGATTAAAAGTATTAATTTCATAAAAAAGAAAAAGCATACTGATCTCTTAACTTTTGAAGGTGATGATGATATTAAAACAGCATTTTCATCTCATTTTACTTGCATAAGGATATTCATAGATCTGGAGCAGGACGTCCATCAGGAATGTGTCTCTCTTTGACCAGCAGATCGATGACGTCAATGAAAAGAAAAGTCATTTCAGAGCTGGAACAAGTTCATGCATTCTGATGAAAGATTTCAAGTAAGAAGGCATTTTTCTCAATATTTACATGCACTGATTGTGACTGTCATTCTCAATAAAACCAGGAACGCCAATTAAGAAAGTCAGTTTGGGTGCATGTTTAATTTAAAATCTATGAAATCCATATTTATGACACATTATGATGGTTATATCACACATTTTTACTGGATGAGAATAGTCATTCAGACCCGGTTTATTATAGCAACTAAAACTAAACAAAAAATAAAAGTGTTACTTATAAATAGAAATAAATAACCCTTAAACTTGTTTTATTTCAGCTAGTTACCAAAAAAATAAAAAA